ATCTCAAGGACCTGTATTCACGTTCGTGCAAGCATTTGCCACAAGATGACCAGTCACGATTAGTGCGCCAACTCAAAGATTTTGAGGATGTCTTCGCAAAGGATGATCTGGATTTAGGGGAGTTTACCGCATTTGAACACAGGATTGACACAACAGATGCTAAACCTGTCAGACAACGCATGAGGCGTACCCCGCTAGGATTTGAAAATGAGGAAGAAGCACACTTGAAAAAAATGTTGGAAGCCAACGTTATTCAGCCTTCTATGTCAGAATGGGCTTCAGCTCCAGTTCTCATTCGCAAGTCTGATGGTGGGGTGCGTTGGTGCATTGATTACCGACGTCTGAATGACGTTACGGTCAAAGACGAGTTCCCTCTGCCCTTGATTGAAGATTGTATTGACACGCTAGCAGGCAGTGAATGGTTCTCCAAACTAGATGCTAATTCAGCATATTGGCAAGTCAAGATTGGTAAAGAGGACCAGAAAAAGACAGCATTCATAACAAGTATGGATTGTATGAGCACGTCAGAATGGGCTTTGGTCTCTGCAATGCCCCGGCCACTTTTTCTAGAGTTATGGCACTAGTCCTCAGTGGATTGACTTTGGACATCGTCCTTGCCTTCTTGGATGATGCAGTGGTTAATGGGACCAGTATACCCTCCCACTTCATCAATCTGAGGAGAGTATTAGAGCGATTTCGGAAATACAATCTGAAGCTGAAACCTAGAAAATGTGAGCTGTTTCAGAAGAAAGTGGAATTTTTAGGCAGAGTGGTCAGCAAGGATGGGCTAGAAGTAAACCCAGGTAGCCTGGAATGTGTTCATAACTGGCCCGTCCCCACCTGCACAAAGGAAGTTGAGCAATTCCTAGGATTTGCCAACTATCACAGAGGATTCATCAAGAATTATGCTGAGCTGGCATGTTCTTTGTATGACCTCACAGGAAAAAAACCCTTTATCTGGGAGGAAAAACAAAAGCAGTCCTTCAAAAAGTTAAAAGCTGCCCTTACGTCAACACCGGTGTTAGCATTGCCCAACAAGGAAGACCACTTCATCTTGGATACAGATGCTTCAGATTGGGCCATTGGAGCGGAACTGATACAACTGCAAGATGGCCAAGAGAGAGTAATTAGTTACGGCAGTTTTAGTCTCACACCGGAACAGAGAAGGTACTGCACCACGCGCAAGGAGCTGCTTGCAGTGATACGGTTTACCCGACAGTACCGCCATTATTTGTTGGGTAGGCCGTTCACAGTAAGAACAGACCACAGCAGTCTCACCTGGCTACTAGGGTTCCGATCACCGGAAGGACAGCTCGCCCGTTGGCTTGAGGAATTAAGTCAGTATGACATGACAGTACTCCATAGACCTGGTGCCAAGCACCTCAATGCGGATGGATTGTCAAGGATTCCTGAGAAGGACAATTGCCCTTATTATCAGGGAACAGTGGAGCCCCTATCACTCCCATGCAATGGCTGCAAATATTGCGAGAGAGCACACAAAAATTGGGGAGCCTTCCAGGAAGAAGTTGATTATTCCATACCCTTGTCAAGGAGAAACATCACTCAAGCCAAGGTGAGACAACTCTTGTTGGAGTCCACTTCTAGACAAGCAACATTTTCAACAGAGGGGAATGTTCTAGGTACATCAAGTACATATTTTACTCAAGATCCACAGACTTGTTTAGAGAGCTGTCCAAAGCCTGAAGTTAGTGTTCAGCGCCTAGTAATGGTGACTGACACAGAAACAGGAAATCTTGAATTATTTCCGGAGCCAAGGGACGTACAAGTTCAGAAGGTCACCATTAATGCAGAGAAGGATACCACTCCAAGGTTTGGATATTCTCTGGACGAGTTAAGGCAGCTCCAGAGAAAGGACAAACAATTAACCTTTCTGCATCAATGGTTGGATGATAAAACAATACCATCTGAACAAGAAATATTTCTGGCAAGCCAAGCAACAAAGTCCCACTGGATAGACAAAGAATTATTCTCACGAGATCACCAGGGTCTGGTGGTCCGGGAGAGTAATCAGGACTCCAACAACAAACTGCTCCTTGTTCCACAAACCCTCCAGCAAGAAGTGTTAAAGCATGTCCATGACATTCCCGCAGCAGGCCATATGGGAATCTCAAAGACAAGAGAGAGACTAAGGTCCCGATATTATTGGTACCGATGCTCTCAAGAGGCACAGGAATATGTCCAAACATGTGAGAAATGTAGTAAGAACAAGAAACCCTCTAAACACTCTAGGGCGAAAATGACCAATTTCCATGCAGGCGCGCCAATGGAAAGGGTGCACCTGGATTTTATTGGTCCATTGCCCTTAAGCAAAAAAGGGAATCAGTACATATTGATGATGGTGGATCAATTCACGAAGTGGGTTGAGTGCATCCCTCTTCCAAGTCAAAAGGCGGAGGCGACAGCACAAGCCGCTATCAATGCGTTTTCCTCTCGATTTGGCTATCCGTTCCAATTACATACGGACCAAGGTCGTAATTTTGAGAGTGAACTCTTTAAGTCAATATGTTCCTTGCTACACATTCACAAAACCCGTACAACACCCTACCGTCCGTCTTCTAATGGACAGGTAGAACGGTATAACAGGACATTACTCCAGATGATACGCTGTCATGTAGGGAAGTCACAAGCAGGATGGGACGAGTACCTAGCACAGCTAGCAGGGGCGATACGGTCATCTGTAAACCGACAGACAGGATATTCAGCCAACAAGTTGATGCTTGGAAGAGAGGTGAATGAACCAGCTGATCTGATGTTTGGATCCCCAGTTAAACATGTATCTAACTCCCTGCCAGAGTATGTGAATTCCTTGCCAGGAGGCACATGAGATGGCCAGGTCTAATCTCCGAACAGCCTTACAAAGAATGAAGAGGGATTATGACTTGAAAACCAATGAAAGTACATACACCGAAGGAGATTTGGTGTATGTCATGGACACCGCTGTGAAGGTAGGGAAGTGCAAAAAGTTGCATCCCACATGGAAGGGTCCCTTTCTAATTGTCAAGAAACGAACACCCACCCTGTTTATCATCCGATACAGGAACCGAGATTCTACTGTCCACCATGACCGCCTCCGTCAGTGTCGGGATAGAAAAATTCCAGCATGGGTGTTAAGGGCAAAAGCCAAGTTTGAGTCCAAACAGGGGATGACACAGGATACACAGGTGGAATACCAGTCTGATGTCGGCCAAAAAGAGACTGACATCTTATACTGTAAGTGACAGAAACCCTACAATGGTACACTTATGATCGCTTGTGATGGTTGTGATGAATGGTATCACGGCGAGTGTGTGGGGGTCACGGAGGAAGAGTCTAAAACAATGGACTCTTACTTCTGTGACTACTGTCTCTATAACTGAAAATGTATGTGCGTGGTCTTCCCACTCTTGCAGGCACCTGTAGACAAAAAACCCAAACAAAACCACAACCAAACATTGACATGGAAAACCACCGCTCACGCTCTATCCGGAGACGCGATTGCTTGGGACACCGTGCCCGCTCACGTTCGCCCTCAAGGCATCCTCAACATAGAGTGTCCTGGTCGAGGGTCATTCGGAGGTCTCGTTCGCCAAGGAGATGCGTACCCACGAGTGAACGATCTCGAAGACCTCATCGAGGACCCAGTCCAAGAAGGGGAAGGTCCCCCCAACGAAACCGGACTATCACGTACAGGAGAGGGGGGTCCCCAAGGCGTGGTGACCTACACCTGTACCACCATGGACAGAAGCCAGAGGGGGCCATCATGGAGGGAAAGCCTGTACAGAGAAAAGTATCTGTCACTTCCTCGGACAGGTTGGGGTTGGTGATCCAGACCTCATTAGCCCCGACTAACCCTGGAAAGCTCATCAGGAACCGTAAGCCAGGGTTGACACAGGATCATGGCAAAACTACCTCCGTATCCCTGTCAGCACAGGGCTCACCTTGCTTCGTGGTGGGGTGCTCCAAACGGACAAGGCATCTCAGGCAACACCTGATGAGTCATTTGCCCCAGTGCTTTGATGAGGGACAAATGGAGGTGAAGCGTCTGGTTCAGGCCCAGACAGGACTGATCTGGCTGGCCAAACAGATCTTCGGTCCTGGGTCTACTCCTGAGGACCTGGTAGATCATTTAAATGGCTCTGACCTATTGGAGGAATATCCCATTTCCCCAAGTGGTCTTACCCGGATGAGAGAGTTCTCTCACAAGCTGGCTCTTGGGGTTCCCAATAAGTTCACCATGTGCCCGGTGAACTCGGTGGCTGTTCTCCTTCATTGGAGGGTCGTTGGGAACCTTCTCAACCTGCTTACCGAGGAGCAGAGAGCCAGGTTTAAGGCTCTCTTTAGTCTTGGTTTGGCACCACAGCTACAGTCACTGGCAAGTGTGACCAGCCCAAAGGAGGTCGGACCCACTGCACTGGTCACAGCCAAGCCACTGTTCAGACAAGAGGAGGAGGGTCCTATGGAGGCAGGGACCCCACCGGAAATGCCATCGCCAGCTATGGAGCAGGTTTTGGACGTCCTCGTCTTGGATGAGGGCGCCTCAGAGTTTGATGGTCAGTCCCTTGCGGGTCCCATCTCACCTCAAGCCATTGACTCTCACTGTCATCTGGATCGTCTCCAACTTAGACAGTTTGGCAAGTACCTAGAAAGTAGGTCTTTGGAGGACACCCTAAAGCCAGGACCCCAGCAACATCCAGATCGACCATTTCAGTTGGTTAGTGTGGTGTCCGTACATTGTGACCCGGGCACATATCCAAAGGTCACAGGCCAGGACACAAGGATCCACCACGCTATTGGTCTGCATCCTAAGAAGGCAGACCAATTTAACCAGGCTATCAAGGAGAAGATCTGCCACCTCCTGAAACAGCCTCAAGTCGTCGCCCTAGGGGAGATCGGTATCGACCCCTCCAGCCTCCTGGGTGCGACAGAGGGAGGTGTTCCAAAGCCTGCTTAAACTCAAGCCATCAGGCCTACCGGTGGTAGTCCATTGCCGTGGCAACGCAATGGACGAGAAGAAGAATTTTGGTGCTGTGGCCCATTGCCTTGCTATAGGCATCCTAGATAGGCACTGCCAGGAATCCAAAGCAGATAGTGTATCAGACATGGCCATTCATGTCCATTGCTTTGGGGGAGATTACCAGGTCCTAGAGGCCTGGTTGGTCAAATTCCCCAGGGCCTACTTTGGATTTTCTGGAATGGTGGCGAGATTCACATCTCAACAAAAGAGAGCTGTAAGGAGGGTACCAGAAGATAGGCTACTCCTAGAGACAGATGCACCCTACCTGTCCCCGAGAAATAACAGGATCAGCACCCCCAATGATATAGGCGAGGTGGCCTACTTGGTATCAAGGATCCGTGGGACAACAGTGGAATCGGTTCTCGCCACCACCACAGCCAACAGCCAAGCCCTGTACCACTTCTAGTAAGTGACTAGAAGGACACCCGGGTTACTCCTGGGGGTCAGGAAAGTGGTACAGCCACGATAAACAACTCACCCCATCAAGTACCCGTGTCCATTCATGGGTATTTTGCATCTTAATTATCCGATGCTAATTGTGGGGTACAAACCCTCAACACCTCGCATGATTGAATGTGTGGAGTAGGGCTGCAAGGATTTAAAAACTACGTACAAGGAAATACAAGACACAGTGAATCAAGTACCCGTGTCTATTCATGGGTATTTTGCATCTTAAATTATCTGATGCCATAGGCTGTGGGGATACCATTAAACCTACAGACCCTTAACACCTCGCATGATTGAATGTGTGGAGTAAGGTTGCAAGAATATAGAAACTCCAAATTGACACAGTAAATCAAGTACCCGTGTCCATTCATGGGTACAAACCCTTAACGCCTCGCATGATTGAATGTGTGGAGTAGGGTTTCCAGCAATATTAAAGCATCCCTCCCAGCGATGACGGACGTCTTCGGATGTGCCAGAGCGGCTAAAAAATAAGGTGTTCCTCCAGCAATGACGGACATCTCCGGATGTGCCTGAGCAGAAAAGATGGGGGAGGACCTTCAGCAATGACGGACGTCCTCGGATGTACCCGAGCTTAGAAAACAGGGAGGAGTGTTGTGTGAGACGATCTCTACTTCCGTCGGAGACATTCGGTTTCCCTCGGAAGTGTTTGGGCAGCCGAGGCCGAGGTGCACGTGGCCGAGCGCTGCCGGAAAAGGGATCGTCTGCAACGAAGCTTCGAGAAAGGTAAAATCCCTAGTTCTGAGCTAACAGTCGCGGACCGCATTTTAGAATAACACTACGCAGATCGTGCCGGACGATCACACTATTAATTGGCGAAACCATCAGGGCAGTTAATCACCATATTGTTCGCGGAAGTAAAATCACTACAGTAATTTCCTACTGGCTGACGCGTTTTGTTATGGAGGTTCGTCGGAAGGATGGGAGTAATTACCCGCCTCAAACATTGTACAACATTGTGATGGGTATAAAGTGTTATCTACGTGAAGAGTGTGGGCGTGTCCTCAACTTTCTGTCAAAAGACGATCAGTCATTTCAAACCTTGAGAAAAAGTTTGGACGGGCAAATGAAGGAACTTATCAGCAAAGGGACTCGGTGTGAGAAAACGAACGGATCCTATCACTGAGGATGATGAAAATAAGCTGTGGGACTCTGGTGTGATAAATCTGAGAAATGCAACTGGATTAAGTTACGTTGTGTTTTTCTACTGCGGGAAAGTGTTTGCTTTTCGAGGATACAGTTAACACAGAGAGTGCAATGTGGAACAGTTCAGTGTTACAGTGGATTCTAGCGGTCAGAAAGCATTGGTGTACCAAGAACATGTGAGTAAAACAGTTCAGGGGGGTCTCAATTACTGAAAAGTTGAACCGAAACGTGTTGTGCAGCATAGTGACACTTCTAACCCTCCTGATGTTGTTAACCTCTTTGAAACGTTCTTTAAATACATTCCTAAAACGGGCCCTCTCTACCGTCGACCTCTTTCAGGGGAGGACGAGACGCCGAAATATTCTCAACAACCGATCGGTGTGAACACGTTGGCTAAGTATTTGCCTACTATGATAAGTAAAGCGGGCATTGAGACAGGGGACAAAAAGGTAACGAATCACTCAGCCAGAGTGTACTGCTGTTCATCAATGTATCAGCAGGGATTTGAGGAACAGCAGGTCATGGCCAGAAGCGGCCATCGCAGCAACGCAGTGAGAGATTATAAGAGACCCTCCGAGCGGCAACTGCAGGATATTTCTAATGCTTTGCAACCCCCAAAGTGTACGAAGTCGTGCCCCTCCCCCTTCACAGACCGACGTCAACAGTGAGAAAGAAAACAAACCAGACGCTTTGCAGGACAAAAGTGACAATATTTTAATTATCAAAGTTCCTACTTCTGTAAATATCGTTGTCATTGAAAAAGACGGTAAAAAAATTCAGCTGTCAATGTAAAGTTACTGAAATTAAACATTGTTTTAATTTGTAGCGTGGTTTCTTGTTAATTTATTAATTGGATATTTACAATTGTAGCGTGAGTTGCGTATTTCTTTAACCACGTGTTTTGCCTTCACCAAAACACGTGGTAACTCTTGAGTATAAACAAACTACGTCAGAGTGTTTCAGCCAATCAGTTTCCCCACCAATACCAATCACGTGGTTTGCCGTGAACCAAGTCACACCATGACTTTGGTGTTGGCGAAAACTAGCCATCTGATTGGCTGAAACACTTTGTGCATGCGCTAATATTGTAACAATGTTTGCTTAAATTTGAAGTCCTCTTTGGTTTCGACAAAGAACATTGCAACAATGTTATTTTGTCGGTATATGTCGGCTCTCGGTCACATACGTTTCCCCACTCATACTCAGTTACGCTAAGAAACATAGTTCTTTGAATATTTACAACATAATGTAGAAATACGTCAACATAATTTCATTCTCTGAACAAATTTACAAACAATATTTGGGATAAAACAAATCTTAAAAATAGGTTACAGGAAGGTGAACAAAAATATAAACATGACCTCGATGCACCGAGGCGAGGTCATCCTTCAAGCGCGGATTTATATATGACGTCACATAAGTTTGTAAAGAGGAGCATTTCGAGTCGAACGGGAGCATGAGGATGAAATTTATACTTACTGCTGTTGAAAATGACGTTTATGGAGCAGTTATGGAAAACACCCCGACTCGTGAACACTCTCGTGGCACTATCAAACTGGGAATATCACGATTTATGAATATGTTGCTTGTGTTTGGATAATGGCAAACCAATTCGAACGATGCGGAATGGACTGGTGGGGATTGAACCGAGTGCTCTGAAACTTGCGTGTTTTGTGTTAATTGTGTAACTGATGCAGAGCATTGTTCCCCCGCCATATAATGTAATGTGCAGAGGAAGGAAGTGTAAGCTTTGGGAGAAAAGGATTGGTGTAAAGTACAAATTGGTTGTTATTAATGTAGTTATCTTTGGAAAGCACAATCAAAGAAACAATGTCTTTAAATGGTCAGCACAAAGAAAACCAAGGCAAGAAAACACATAACTGGACCTGTCAAGCAGAACTTGTTATAATGGTAATTTATTATTTTAGTTTGTGCAGGGACAAAAAAGTTTACGCTAGTCATATCGACAGGTTTCATTACCTACGTAGTCATATGCGTACTTCTGCATCCAGTCTAATATACCCTGTTATTTTCTCACCATAATTACACTCTTCACTAGCAAGTACATGCTTATGTCTTACATTTACCTACCGTCACTTCTTATATTTTATTTTCACGTCACATCATTAGCCATGCTTTTCTGTTATGTATAAGGTTACTAGCTTCATATCCCACAATGCATCAATTTCTCAGCCACGCATGCTCAGAAAAGTTTCCGGCGACGTCATGCCTCGAGGCTATTTAACCCCAAAGATCTCGCTTTGTCTTTCAAAATAGAAGACCACAAACCAAATGGGAAAAAGTAGACTTCTCCCAAGATCTTAATAAGATCCTAACAGCTCAAGATATTGCCAAAGAGCTGAAGCACAAAAATATTATTCGAATAAATAAGTGTGGAAGAGGGTATGTTGTTGTCGGGGACAACCTCACAGAGTCAATTGATATGCCCAAAAGCATAAACGGGATCAAACTAAAATGGGATACCCCAAAGTGGCTTAGCAATGTCAGATGTGCGGTACATCTAGACAAAAAAATTAATGACGACGAGCTTTATCAAATTGTCTGTCAATCCCAAAAGAAGTCACCCAACCTACAATCCTGTCGGCATTCAGGATCAAATCAATGGGCACAAACAACACACGAGTAGTAATACTCACATTACTTGGACAGTCAGTCCCCGGCCACCTTAATCTAGGTGGCAAGGACATAGAAACCATGCCATACAGGAAAAGGCCAACCCAGTGCACAAATTGTATGCTCTATGGACATACAAAAACATCATGTAACCAGCCACCCAAGTGCAAAAACTGTTCCCGAGTTTCTTGCAAAGAAAACTGCAACACATGGTGCAAAAACTGCAGGAAAGAGGGTCACTCATCCTTGGCGCCGAAATGTCCTAAACGCTTGCTCATCAGCAAACGTATAAATAAAATACCTACTCAGCAATCTGAATCCAAATCTATTCAACCCACTGAGGTCGAAAAAACCCAAGCGACTACTCATCACTCTACTGAGCAAACAATGGAATCTGTGAGCACTGAGCAAACAATCGAAACTGTGAGCACTGCTCCGCCTACTCACAGGCACAAAGCCACTGCAAAACGCAAGGGAAAAAAGACCCAAGCTTCCCAATCAAACCCCATGCCTTCTAATCCTCAAACTGAGGAACACAGCAAACGAATCAGTCAGGCAAAGAAAACACCAGCTCATGGTACACAAAAGGCTCAGAACACAAACAAAGTTGTAGAGTTCATTGCCACGGCATTGATCCAAATTACAAGCAGAAAAATGAGTGTCAAAGCCAAAGCCACCTGCATCCTCAAACTGGCTTCCAAAATAATGAAATACAAAGGAACAAAGAAACAGTTCCTAAATAGGGTATGCCCTAAAACTCAATAAGCGCTCATCTATAAATTATCATGGACTTGCTTTTACTACAGTGGAACGCAAATGGCCTTAAGAGCCACGGCAATGAACTGACTCCAAGCGAGCAACACCTCCCAAGCCAGCACAGAGCATTGCCTGATAGCCAGCCAAGGAGAAATCCATCATCGGTAATTATCACGTTATCCTTTCAGCCTTATTCACATACTCTTAAAATCACTCTCATCGTTTGTTTGTTTGTTGTTTAACGCCGAACCTAGCAATATTCCAGCTATAGGACAGCGGTCTGTAAATAATCGAGTCTTGGCCAAGCGAGCAACACTTCCCAAGCCAGCACAGAGCATTGCCTGATAGCCAGCCAAGGAAACTCCATCATCGGTAATTATCACGTTATCCTTTCATCCTTATTCA